CCAACCAGCATTGAACGGTTGCCAGCACCTGGAGGAGGCCCAAACTGTGCGATCTTGTTGGTCGTTGGGAGGTAAGTGGTAGGAGGCAGTCTCTCAGGTAGCCAGGTCCTAAACCATGAAGGGCTTTAAAAGTAACGACTAGCACCTTGAAGCGCGTCCGGAGACCAATAGGAAGCCAGTGCAGCTCGCGGAGGATAGGTGTAATATGGGTGTATCTAGATACACCCCATATCGCTCGCGCGGCTGCGTTCTGGACCAGCTGTAGTCTTCGAACACTCTTCAGGGGCAGCCCCATGTAGAGCAGGAGCTCACTCCGTTACACGGTGCTAGGGATTCAAACCTCCAAACTGCCGACCTTTCTGATTTGTCAAACTCAGCGTCTTAGCCGCTGAGCCACTGCTCAGTGATATATTTCACCCTTAAGTGGATTTGCTGCTTGACAGTGTGCGCCATTCATGATTATTTAATGGTCCCGATTACCTGCTCTGTGCCATCCAAAATTCATCGTTTTAGTAGGTTGTCGAGATGCCATCCAGAGAGAGAAAAGGCTGATCATCATGCTAGCAAAATCAGTCAATAGGTGGGCTGCATCAGTCATAATGGCCAGGCTGTGTGCAAAATATCCTCCTGAAGAGAATAAAAGAGAGTTCTGGGCTGTGCCCCAATTCTTCTTCCTGGTTAAGAGTCTCTGCCTAGCTTTCTCCCTGCATGCCTGGAACATTTCAAGACAGCAGCATGCCTGATCAATGCATTTGTTGCAGACCTTAAGTCAGAGGTAGGGAATAATGACCCCTTCATGACTTGTGTACTTCAACTCCCAGAATTCCTGAGCCAGCCATTCTGGGAGTTTAAGTCCACGAGTCGTAAAAGGGCCATCATTCCCCACCCCTGCAGTAAATGAACCAGCCCAGAAATTCAACCCCACAGGAAGGCTAAAACTACTTTTATTGAGATTGGATGTAACAGCAATAGCCATAGCATTTAGTCTTATATACTGCCCCGTAGTGCTTTACAGCACTCTCTGGCCAGTTGACAATGTGGAATCATTATTTGCATATTGCCCCCAACAATCTGAGTCCTCATTTTACCGACCTCAGAAGGGTAGAAGGCTGAGTCAACCTTAAGCCGGTCAGGATCAAACTTACCTGCAATACTTCACTTAACCACTGTGCCGCCAGGGCTAATATCAGAATCTCGCAAATGTGATTGTGCTGTTAAATCCTCCCCTTCTGATTCTCCAGTGAATTAAAGAGGTGTCCATCAATTCAGAGCATCGTCTTGTTCCAAGGATTGACAAACACTTCAGCCCCTTTTCTCTAGGTCAGGCAGGGGTGGGTTCCTGCCAGTTCTAACCTCTTCTATAGAAGAGGTTCCACAAATCTACCGTGCTGTTTAGAACTGGTTCCAGCTCTCTCCCACCGCCCATTCGCACATCATCAAGATGAAGAGTGAGAGGAGGAATTCTGGGAGTTGAAGTCTACAAGTCTTAAAGCTGTCCAGTTTGAACACCCCTGGGGGTTTTTTCTAAAGGGTTAGGGGTGCGAGGGTCTTGTA